TAATGTAATACTTTTTTATTGGGCAATCAGGCAATATATTGAAATACTGTTTTTCATTGGACAATCACACAATTTATTGTAATTAAGTTTTTCATTGGACAGTCACGCAATATAATGTAACATTGTTTTTCATTGGACAATCAAAATGTCTCTGATAAAAATCGCGTATTAAATTAAGACGTTAACGGCGTTCCATAAAAATATATGCAAGTCAGTGAAACGAAGCCGCTTATATCATTTATCAATAACAGCAGAAATAAACAATGTTCAAAGTCAATAAATATTAACCATATATTGCGAAACAGTAACAAGTTATGATGTAAATTCTTATAAAATGAGTATCTTGTAAATAAATCGCCTTTCTATAAAGAATCTTGCTTACTAAAATTAATGGCGCTAAACTGCACACGGATTTATACAGTAATTTCAATGGCCGCCAAAATTTCTAATGTTTCAAATTTTCTAAGACAGCGTAAAAGGATGCTGCTTCTAAGAAAGACAAGACAATACTCTTGTCTGATTTTGCCGTATTTATATGAAAACGCCCAACCACTGCCTAAAAGTGGTTTGAATGGTAGAAAAACGATCAACAACCAAAAATGGTTGACGGTTGTCAGACAAAACTGATCGAAAACGATCAAAACTGATCGGACTGAACTTAACTTTAATGGAGGAACATTTTACAATAAAAGAGATATAAGCAAATACAATAATGACTATTTCCAAAAATTCTATACCTTTTGGGGTGTAATTTCTTGTGTACCAAAACGGAACATCTTCTGCCTACTAGTGTTTACAGAAACTAACTGATTCAAGAGCTATAAATAGCCAGTAATGCAATGTACAAAATGGCGGCGTACAGTAAATTTCCAACACATGAAAATTACATTTAAAGGAAAATCAGTGAAATACGTGGATTTTATTAAAGTTACTTGGCCTTTTGTTAGAAAATTACATTCGTCATCTCAGGAAATCAGACTTTACATAAAAATACAAACATTTAAGGAATTATGACAGCTTAAAGTCAAGATTAAAAGGATTGTCTGACACGGATGTTTTGCTAATCCCGAATTGTAGCATTGACGTTTGAGAGGCAGACCTGCTTTTGTGTGCAACACATCACCTCATCATGGTGAACATTTGTACTAAATTATCTTTAAATCAATCAAAGAAGGAACAAGATATTGACCGGACAAATCCGGGCGGAAGCAGTCACGGACGGACGGACGCAAGCATGGACATACATACACCGAACTATAGCCAAAAGTTCCGACTAAGTCGAGCTCATGACAAAAAAGACTTTTAATTTGGTTTTCACTTTTTTATGTCCTATTGTTGACAGTGACTCACCTGCCTAAAAGCTTTATTTACATTTGGCGTTAAGTTTGTACCAAGCAAAGAAGTTCAACAGTAGAGCATGTTAAAACTTTTGAAGTCATTTTATTTACAACGAAATATTACTTGCTATCCTGTTTTGGACTGATCGAAAACAGTGTGTCAATTTTATGAAAAATATTAGACCAAACAAATAATGATAATAACACAAAAAACACATAACTGAAATATTGATAGAATATTCGTGATATTTGAATCGGCAATCTTTAGAATTAATGTAATCATTCAAAAAACAAAACAGGTTCGCGATGAAAACAACTATCCTTTTCCAAATGCTTATGCTGATAAAAAGCAATTATACAAGAATACTGTAATGAATGAATTAGGAATTGAAGAGGTCAAATTAAAGAATTTTTGCTTTTCATTCTGCTTTAAAATATCAAACATGTAAGTATTGCAATGGGATCCCAATCCAATCCCTGAACATCTTCTTTTATAAATTTTCGGGTTCGGATCCTTATACACTCCCATATCGTGCATTGAAACTGCTCTAGATTTAGACTACGATAGATAAACCAATTTAGATATTAAGCAAATAACCATAAGCTCAATGTAATGTCTTAGTAAAATATGAGAACACAGATTAACAAGACAAGGCAAAGTGAACAGAATACAGACTCAGACACAGCAAAGTCACACCAGCAGGACACCAAGGTGGCAACGAATCAACAACGGAAGTGGACACAAGGGCGGTGAAAGGAGGGGAGAGACATTTAAAAAGTGAAATGATAAGAACTAAAAGGGACCGATACGGGAATTGAGGGGCAAAAAGGTATAAAGTTAACTTTGATCACTTGGAAGAAAAATTGGACTGCTGAGTAGCACAGTTGAACTCATTTAAGTGACTTGTATTTCTTTAGAGATCAAATATTTATATTTATCATAATCTATAACAAAATTATCTGGATGACATCAGAAATAAATTTTAAAAAAATGTTATTATTGCTATGTATATAATTTGATAATAGTAGCAATTAGATGATAAATATTTGATAATGACTCAATATATTTCAATGACATTACGTATCTACATCTTGCCTGAAGTAAATATGCTATTTTTGAGGACGTAAGGGCACCATTATAGTGTACGTAACCGAACTTGAACAAGCTTCTACAAATTAAGAATCCAAAATGCCTGGCGTAATTAAAACTCAACAAAGACCTTTACAACACAGCACGGGGCCCCAACAGAAAGGGTTTTATTTTTTTTTGCTTGTAAAGTTGTCTGGAAACCATAATATAGATTTTTATTAAATAAGAACGGTTTTGAATGATTTGACATTACCTTTACGTAATAAATATTTGTGGTTGAATAGCGAATGTGTACTAATTGTTTATATCCGTGTTATCATTTTGTTGTTCATGTGACACATTAAGGACCTTGTTATCAACAAAATCAGCATGTATTAATCATTGACCCTGAATTGACTACCTAACTGATAATATGATATATTCGTATTAAATTAGCGAGAAGTTCGTCGGACTCATCAAAAATATATGATAGATCTAGAGCATGCTGTTTACCATTTGTTTAATTGACTGCTAAATTTATGGTGTATGGTATTCCTTACTTTTTAGTCTGTTTCATAGGCATGGTCGTCATATTGCCTATTGCCCATAGTGTAGTCCTTTACAAAGATAGCAAAACTCTTAAAGTCTTCAAAAAGACGCTTAAAATGTAAAAGAAAACACTTTAAATGATAATTGCATTTTCTCAACTGCAACATAGATTTACAATGGTAAGTAACAGCATTTATCTTGGGTTATATTCTATGGAAATTATTATTTTAATCCATCCTTTTACATAAAATAGATGTCGATGTACGGCAATAACGAAATGTAATTTACTTCAAAATGGCTTACTTTGACATGAGGTGATATTAACTATTACATTCTTGGTCAGAAGAGCGATTCTGGCTCTTCGTTGCTCTCTTGTTTGTGTTTGTTATCCAGATAATTGGCATGCCCTGTAATCGTGAATGTTCGACAATTTTCGCCACGCTTCGTATAGTAAGCATAATTGACGAGGTTTTCCGATTGGTCTGGACAAATGATCGTTACTTTCGGGTTTCATATAAAACATATAAGCACACACGAAACCGAGGCCGATGACTTAAGAAACAGTTGAATCTGCAAGATGTCGCAATTTATGACGATTTAAGAGGTAAACTTTAGTTTCTATTTTGATCTTCTTTTAATGTGTTATGTGGTAATTGAATCATCTATTGTGTAATATTGTAATTGTACATCATCTCTACATTATGATTGTTTTTGTTTTTTTGAAACGACCTGATTTTACAAGTGTACGAATTAAAAGTGTCATAATTTATGTATGGCTTCGATATATATTTATTATTTCTCCCATTATTAATTTACAAGCTGTATATTACAATCTTTCAGTTCATTACACGACTCTGTTGCAATATCTAAGCTATTTGTTTGTTATAAGGGCCATCTCGAACTTCAAAGAATTTATATTATTGTTGGAAATTACCTGAAACTAAGAAACTGTATGCAAATAAAACGAGGAGGAAATATAATTCTCTAAAGTTATTATCACCATACTTCCTTACAATTAATTATCACCTTAATCTAATTATAAGTCTGAGTTATATATTCAAATTTGCATGAATATTATCCAGAAAATTAATTTACGTGAACGCATCAATATTTACGATAAAAATACATGAACCATATACTTATACTGCGTACTTTGCGATCCTTCAAGGGCGAATTAATATACAAGTTAAATGCCCCCTTCTACTTCTTTTCATTACGTCGGTCTGCGGTCTGTCGGTCCGTAGACCAGACTATGTTATGACCGGCAACAATTAAGATTTGGCGTAAATATTGATCACTTCTAACAGTTGATCCCTTTGGATTTTGAGGTAATCTTGTCAAAGGTAAATGTAACAGTGACTTTTACCACAAAAATATTGTTTGACCTTTTGCTACAAACGCATTGTTCTACAGACATGTTTGATTATGGGCGATTAGTCATGTGATGATATAATTGTTTAAAAATGGCAAAGATTTGCTTGATTAGATTAAAGCTTTATCGCCATTACGTCGATTACTATTTGTTCACCCCGCAATGATAAAACATGTGATAAAAATTGCACCGACATAGATTGTAACTCATTTTAAGTGTAACAACTTCACCAATTTCAAGATAACCATAACAAGTACTTTGTATAACCAATCTATCTTCCTCTTTGATATAGTAATGATTTGTGTTATTCATAAGAATGATACGCAGTTTATTGTTATTTCTATTTTTATACACCCACCAAAACAAAGTTAAGGGGGTATATAGGAGTTACCTTTTCTGTCTCTGGGTCCACTTCAACCACGGTTAGGATTGCTTTTAGGCACCCTTGTGCCAAGGTCACTGTTACTAAAAATTGAAAATTCGTTTCCTTATAATAGCTAGAGATAGGAATGATATATTGTTATCTAACTTGGTATACAGGGTTGTAAGACGGGCGGACCGTAAGACAGGGCGGACAAAACCATGGCGGATCGTATGTTTGGATAAAGCGGAACATATTTAGGGACAGAGGACCCGTGACTGGTTACATAGGAGTGACATTGTGTCCTTTAGTATGGTATTGGGTAGTTCAGGTTTAAAGTGGGTCTCAGAAAGTGGTGACGGCGACCCTCACAAGATTGTGTTGGATTTAGAAGAGAAGGGTAACAGAGCTGATGTTGCGTCTCTGCTATAGAGTTTGCCAATTAAGATAACTTAACATTTAAGATCCACTACTGGTGTTATTGTAGTTATTATATAAATATTTGGCTGCTAACCTTTGAACTTGTTCTTATTTGCAAACCAGATATTTTGCCGTGGAACAGTATTCTAGCTGGGACCTTACATAAGTTTTATGTGCAGTTTCTATGGCCTTTTTGTTTAAAGCTTTGACATTTTCTTTTATAAATTCGAGTGAGTTATTTGCTTTTACTGTGATGTTATTTATATGATTGGTCCAAGATACACTATTGCAGCCACAGTGGATTTCAGTTGTTGACCATGTATATTAAAAAGGAATATTGCTGTATGTTTCTTGCGGCTGAAAAAACCCATGGACCAATCAGATTCCCAGTTTTCAAGGCTGCTGTATAGGTTTTTGAAGAGGAAGATTGGCAGGGATTTGACCATCAACAACAACCTGTTGGGCGCGACCATAAAAAAATGACATTGTCCGTGTGATGAACTCACAATTAACACCTAGTATGTGTTGTTTAAGGAGAAGTTTGTGATGGTCGACTTAATCAAATGCTTTACTGAAGTCCATAACAATTACATCAGTCTGTTGGCCTTGTTCTAGGTTGTGATGAATTTCCTGGGTAGAACTTATCAGCTGGATTTCACAGCTATGTTTTGACCTGAAACCATGTTAAAAATTCTGAAGATATCATGCTAATCGTAAAAAGACATGATATTGGAGACAAGTATATGCTCCTCAATTAGCTTAGAGGCAATGCAGGTTAATGAGATAATTATTTATATATATAAAATAATATAAATTTTTAGTTCACGTAAATATTGATATACATGTGGTTTTATTACATAAAATCACGGTCCGCCTCGTCTCATTTCATGGTCCGCCCTATACCAAAATAGTGTCCGCACCGGTAATGTCTGCCCTGTCTGATGGTCTGGCTACTCCGAAATATGATTCAAAGTCAAGGTCACTGTAACTTGAAAAGAGAAAACTGTTTCCGGGAAATTACTAGAGTTAAGATCAAATCGGGATTGCTTTTGGACCCTTGGGTCAACGTCATTGTTACGAAAGATAGAAAAAATGTTTCCGACAATAACTACAGTTAGAAATGATAAATATTTAAATCAAAACTTGGTATATAGCATGCTTATGTGGAGACCCAGATTGGGATTGTTTTGGGACCCCCTGGGCTCAAAAATACTGTTACCAAAATAGAAAATGTTTTTAGTGGATAACTTCAGTTTGGAAAGAGAAATTTTAATAAAATTTGGCATTTTTCAAGCTTATAATGAAACCTAGCTTTGGGTTGTTGTTGGATTCCATAGGTTTCAGGTCAAGGTCACTGTCACTAAAAAAATTTTTTCCATACAATAACTAGAGTTAAGAAAGATATATTTTGATCAAAACTTGTATGATTTGTATATGGCAAACTTATATGAAGACCCTAGTACTGCTTTTGGACTCCGTAGGCCAACGTCACTTTTAAGAAAAATAGAAAAATGGTTTCCAGACAATAATTACATTTAGAAATGAGATACTTAAATCAAACTTGGTATATGCCCAGATTGAGATTGTTTTTGGACCCCCTGGGGTCAAAGTTACTGTTACTAAAATAGAAAATGGTTTCTTGACTTAAGTTTGGAATGAGATATTGTAATGAAAAACTCGACAGATTTCAAGCTTATGATGAGACTTAGCCTTTGCTTGTTGTTTGATCCCTTGGTTTCAAGTCAAGGTCACTTTCACTAAAATAGAAAAAATGGTTCCTGGAATATAACATATAAGATAGACAAATGATATTTTGTAATTACATTTGGCATATAACAAATTTATGAAGAGAACTAGCTTAAGATTGCTGTTGGATATATAGGTTTAAGGTGGTCAAGATCACTTTTACTATAATAATAGAAAAATGGTTTTCATATGTTTTCTTAAAATGATAATGGTTCACTGATGATTTTACTCTTACAACAAGGCAATTAAATGCAATTAATTTTGTTACACAGATGAAACATAATACAAACGAGTTAAAAGTTTGCTTTAGACAATGGTTACGAGGAGGTTTGAACCATCTTTAGTGATAACAATAGTTTTATCTGAACGTTTTGATAGCACACAGTAATAATTTTATCATAAAGATATGCCTTTCTTAAGAATAGTTTAAATATTTTTTAAAAGGACTTTATACTAGTATTACTTTTTATTGCCAAGCGTTCGCCGTTGAACGTATGACGCAATCTTCTTTACATGCTTTTTTATTTTCTTTTTAAATAAAATTCTTGTCAATACCAGTTTGCATTATAGATATTGCGGTAGAAAAATGTGATACTCGACAAGGGCCTAGGGACATGTTTATCTTATATAGCCTATATTCACCCGCCAGCAACTTGTATAAGTAACATATATGAATGGTTTTCAGCAGTACTCAAGAAATAATAAACTGTCCTGTGTGAAAAAAATATGTATTATTCCCACCAAATGACAAGCATTCTATCCAATTATAATACAGTAACCAATGAACAACTTAACTGACTGACTTCAAACTGGCCAGAACACTCTAATATATAGCTAAAAATAAGGCCTCTGAATCTAGTTATATATAGCTAAAAACTAGGCCTCTGAATCCAGCTGAACCTTTACATCCAGTTAATCTATAAAGTCCTAAAAAGTCAATGTTTGCAATCAGAATTCGTCATATGTTTATTGTAATATAATTTTTATTTACTTTATCTAGTTTATTGTTTTGAAGAAATGAGCTTGTTTACAATTTTTCTTTTCAATACTTATAGAACCTGTAACTCATTTTTATGGTTTTATAACAAAAATATGATGCTCAAATTAAGATTTATCAATTTTGTAAGTTCCGAAAAGCATTATTTTTAAATAAATTACCGCATTTAACGTTTCATGTAAAAAAAGAGAGGTAATAAAAAATTTATTGTCTATAAAGTCTAAGTCAAATTTTTCAATAAGAAATAAATGAAAGAAACATCAACAAAGTTCAATAAGTTCAATAAGTTCAACATTGGAGGACTTCAAAGAATTTCAAACCGAACTCTTGACACTAATTAAAGTTGACTTTGGTGCCAAAAGTATCAAATTAGATGACATATGCAAAGAAATCGAGAAGATACAAGGTTAAAATAAATATGTTTTTCATCTAAATTTCTAAAATAACAACATAGTTTTGTGAAAATAGTAGACTTTTTGTGTCATGATATTTTATGTGTGACAAAATGATGATGTCAAAAAAGGAACGTTTTAATTTATTAATTCTTAATTAATCATATAAGTTCAAATTGATGGGTAATATACTTTTAAAGATAACTGGAACATGCCCCTATATATCAAAATATACTTACTTAAAAATGACTTAAGTTTTTAAACGAAATAGTTGTAAAATTGATTGTTTTTATTATATTGCGTGCGTCTAGGTACGACTATGCATTTAAAACCTTTACAATATTAATGAAATTCACGGACACAGTGCATCACTTGCATTGTCTGAAGATGAGTTTAGGGATGATCTGACAATCGTTCTCCAAATTTAACAACATGTTTTCATTTCAACATAAAACTTTACCAACATTTTTTGTTCTAGATGAAGCTATGGCAACTTCAGACAACGAAAGGTATTTGAGATATATTATCTTATTGGGAAAAGGAGGACCATTGGTGTTAAAAGGGATTTTAAAACGTGAAGCCAAGAAGATTGGGAAAACATTATCTCAAATTCTACTGGACAATAGTAGTAAACTTCGGCAGGTTATACGATATGATAGCCAATATGGACGCATATTTCCATCAGCAGGATCTGTCAATGATGACCTAGATAACTGGGATACATCACTATTGTGTTTAGTAATTCTGAATATATTTAGAAGCAGCCTTACTTCTAAAGAACGAAATGATATAAAGATTCTTCGCGATTTTAGAAATGAAATTCAAGGACACAGTGCATCACTTGCATTATCTGAAGATGAATATAACGAATATAGACGTGATCTGATAAGCGTTCTTCTAAAGTTGTCGTCAAGAATTGATCGCCAATACCATGACGAATGTCAAGTGTTAATTAAATCAACAAAGTGTGGGCCTTTAGAAATAAGTTCAACATTGGAGGACTTCAAAGAATTTCAAACCGAACTCTTGACACTAATTAAAGTTGACTTTGGTGCCAACAGTATCAAATTAGATGACATATGCAAAGAAATCAAGAAGATACAAGGTTAAAATAAATATGTTTTTCATCTAAATTTCTAAAATAACAACATAGTTTTGTGAAAATAGTAGACTTTTTGTGTCATGATATTTTATGTGTGACAAAAAGATGATGTCAAAAAAGGAACGTTTTAATTTATTAATTTTTAATTAATCATATAAGTTCAAATTGATGGGTTATATACTTTTAAAGATAACTGGAACATGCCCCTATATATCAAAATATACTTACTTAAAAATGACTTAAGTTTTCAAGCGAAACAGTTGTAAAATTGATTGTATTTATTATATTGCGTGCGTCTAGGTACGACTGTGCAACAAAAAGAATTGGCTGAAGAGAACCTTCGTCGTTTGTGCAAAATGGAAAATGGACAAGACGAAATAAGACAAAAAGTAGAAGGTAACATTTTTTTGCTCATGTTTAAAGGGAGACACAGGCAAAATTTTCATCTCTTAGTTTTGAATTTTTCATTCATTATTCTGTAAATGTCCTCAAAATGAATACACTAAACAGTCAAAGGAATAAAACTTTTCTCCATATAAAGAATACAATGACGTTTTCCGAACTTGACCCGCGTGGGTCAGGTTAGAGCGCTAAGATTTCTCAATTGTTGTCACTGTGTACTCTGGAAACATTAAAGAACATGTCAAATCAAATACTTAGAATTGTTTCAATCATACAGCATCCACAATACTTGTTGTTGTAACTTCCAAGGTTTGTTCAAATCACATGACTTGTTTTTAAACTATTCGGTGGTTCTGTTGGTGTCTAAATTTCGTTCAATATATATAGATATATTTAAGCTTCAACCCCAAAATATATAGAATTTATACAGAAATTCATGCTGGGACTTTAAGAAATGTCATTATAGGGTGATTTGAGTACAGAAGATCATTTTTATATTTTTATCATTATTTTGCCTGAGTTTCCCTTTAAAAGCGGATAATTAAAAATATGCCATTACTTTATCTATTCATTTATGAAAGCTAAGTTTTTAGGTAACAGCTTAAAATTGATAGGTAATATACTTTTAACGATAATTGAAACAAATGATTCGAACATAGCCTCTTGTGAAATTGCTACTTTATAGAATGTGTATGATAAGAATTCGATATATGTATGTTATCATTTTTAATTGTTAAAATGGGACTTAAATAAATTTAAAGAAATAGTTATTAAATGGATTCTATCACTTATATTGCATGCGTTTAGTTACGAATATGCAACAAAAGGAATTGGCTGAAGGGAACCGTAGCCATTTCTGCAAAATGGAAGTGGGACAAGATGAAATAAGACAAATGCTTAAGGGTAACATTTCAATGCTCTTGTTTTAAAGTAGATTATTTAAAAAATGCCATTATTTTATCTATTTTTTGTGAAGGCCTAGTGGCATAGTAATAATGTTTTTAACTAAATGGTTATTGAAAAAGATACATTTCAAGATTACTCTGGTTTATATTATTTATATAAGACAATTTAAATTTTGATTTAAATGACTAGAGGTTCCACCATAAAAGTAAAAACTAAATCAATACTGAGTAATATTTATCAATAAAATGTAAAAGCAAGTTTTTCAAAAATTAAAACTTATCAATTTCTCTTGTTTATTTGTTCTCATTATCTCCTTTTCTAATGTAATAAAATAATTCTCTTGTATGTCTACAATGTTTACATTAGTCTCCTGTGAGTTAAAGGAAATTTTAGATACACAAAATAAGGGATATGGATCTGTTGGAGCTTTTTTCCACCAGACCTCGTAGCAATATAACTCTTGCTACTTGCCAGCAGAAAATTATATTTGTCAAAAAAGCATGGTTTGATAAAATGACTTAAGATAAATTTAATATAATAATAATTCTCAAACAACCAATTACAATTACAGCGTTTTAACATGTTAAACCAGGTCAACACTAATATGCCATAAAAGAATGAAAAATCATAACAATTTTATCAAGAAATATCTTCACTTAAAATAGTAGGTATCAATATTCATACTAAAATGGTATTTTTATTCTAAAACCTGATTTTTAGAGTTGCTGAATAGAGAAGCAGAAGCAAGTACTAAGGGCAATACAGATATCCAAGAAGGTAATATATTAACAAGTGAATATCCTTTTAAATTTCTCAGTTTTACATTTTAACTACATGTACTTGTACCTGTTCTACTTTTGCCTTTCAATCACTTAACAATTATACATGTAAAACTATCTCTAGCTGAAATATTAATTTCAGGATTTTTTTGTTTTCTTTCCTAAGATGTTGAAACAAAATTACATGTCCAAAGCAAAAATGATAAAACTGCTTCTTCTGCTGAGGATATGCTTGTTCAGAAAATAAACGAACTTCTTCGAGAAGTCAACAGTGCACCTGAACCTAAAACAATTAATGAGGGACATGTACGAGAACGCGTGCAAAGATATATACAGGCAAAGAAACTTTGTTCAAATGATGAAGAATTGACACTTGCCGTTATGGAACTGATGATAGATATATTTAAGCAATCGGACACTACAATTCTCCCTGCAGAAAAATGCTGTATTCGTTTCGTGATAAGGTGTAAATCATACACAGGTCTACTTGAACTTCTAGAATATCTAGATAGTAATACATTTGACCAGCGAATTCAAGACATAACAACCGCCTTGAGAAAACAGACAGAAATATCAATATTTCTTACAGTGGTGGTTTCAGCTGATAGTTTGCAGCAAATCAAGAAAAATCTAAGTAAGTTTATCTTGCTGTGGTACAGTTTGGTGATTTTGAAGCAAAACAAACATTGACTTTCCTTTAAATATCATAAAAGGATTAAGTATGAATTTATATAGAACGTTATCTCGCTCAATAATGAGAATGTTAAGAAAAATTAGATTTTTATATGATCATGTCAGTTTTACAACAGGCTTCACTATAGTATAATAATTTGTAAATATTTTAATGTGCAATGATTTATTTTTAAAAGTATCACCCTGCTTGTTCATCTAAAAGGTCCATGATGCCTTAGAAATGCTTTTTTTTTTATTGCTCAAAAGCCTTTCAATTTTGATGAACATTTATAGTATCAAAAGTTTTTGGCTAATGACCCGAACCATGTTTTTCATCTGTTGCTTTTTGACGTTAAATACAGTTATAGTAAATAAGTATCTTGTTTGGAAGTCAAAATACTAATTAGTTTACATTTTTTCTACAATTACTGCAATTTATTTCATATCTAATGCTACTTTCTTCAGGTAACAAACATCTAACATTCTCTAAAACCATATTATTTAAACATTAGAAAATTCATGTTTGGTCTTTCTAAAGAAGTAAAAATTTATTTGTTTCTGAGGCATAATGTGCTTTTAAGATAAATAGCACTTTCAATAGACAATTTCAAGCTAGGTCAGAATAGAAACAAATATCACTTTTATAAAAACTTCAAGATTAAAGAATACAAGATGAACCTTGTGTGTGTTGACTATTTACTAATAGATTGATTCAACATGATGTTATTAATTCCAACCTTTCAGTACAAAATCAGATGGCGACAGAGTCTTGTAAACCACGAAGCAGGACTGTTAATCTGCCCGTCCGTAGTAGAAATATCAGAAGTATTGAACATGTATGGAAATTATTCCAGGAGGGGGATATAAATCCCCATCTTTTCAACATTTCTAGAATTCTCTCAACAATAGTTGGTGATGATATAGGGATTACGTCCTCTATCAATTTGAAAAAGTTAAAACAGTCGCTGCAAAACATTGGTCAGTATTAAGTGAGATATATTTAGTCTTAAATAATCATTTGATAAAACTATTGATAAAGTTTCTTACTTTTGCGAAGTATTAGTCACATCCCTGAAAAGAAAGTTTTAGTCATTAATACTTTAATCATGCACGTTAAGAAGTGAATTAAATGGCGGTAATGAATATCGATTGATTAGTTCACGATTTTATTACAAACACACTTGCTTTCAATTTAATAACATTGTGTTTAAGCTTCTTAATATTAGTAAACTATCTATCGACAAATTACTGAAGTTTTGGAAGAAACACTTGTATAATAATGGTTCTGACTAAATAATCTTACTTTAATATTGTTGTAATTTATTATTTATCTCGTGAAAATAAAAATATTGAAATTTCTGTTTTTTTTTCTTTTAGAATCGAATACCGCTCATACAAGTCACGATGAATCTAAAACAGTTACATTGAAAGAAAATCTAGACGAAGTATTTCCATGTAGGTAAGTGTGTCTCTAGGCAAGCTTTAAACTTATCTTTGTCTCCCCTCCCGCAACTCATGCCAGTTTTGGAATGGTAGGTAGGTCAATGAAATATTTTTTCTATCCGAAATGTTTCTTTTATCAAAATTATATGGAGTTCAAACAAATTATGAATGTTAAGCATTATTTTAAACATACGCACCATATTTTCAGTTTTATTCAACATATATCCTAGTTTGTATATTTTCAATTAAAGAAACCAAGAGACAGATAAAAAGATGTGATTTTCATTAACAATTCTGCTACCATGTTTAGAAAAAATATTCCTTGGAAAAATGGATAGCTGTGAGTATTTGTGGGTAAAACAAACACTATTTTATCATAAGCCTTACAGTAAAACATTACTATGTTGTTCATAAGTTTGGTTATACTAATAAAATGAGAGAATGAACTAACAAAATCAATTGTAATACAATACATGTACAAGATATTATTTGTTTATAAAATATACAGATTAAGTTGAATTTCAGACGATAGGCGCTAATATATATCTTTATATCGCATTTACTTGTTACAAAATGTTCTGAGGGACAGGTGAAACATTTTTTATGCTTCCCTAAGGATGAGCATATAGTCGCCGCTTTGTCCGTCGGTCTGTCAGCTCTAACGGAACAGTAATAATGTGACTAGAGAGACTATATGTAACTGTTCTTTCTCTTTGATGTAATTCATTCCATAATGCTTTTATTTGGCTATTTTCTTTTGTGTTACTAACAAGAACAAAAGAGTAGCCACATTATTACTGTCCTGTCAGAACATCAGTCCGTCCGACCGTCGGATATTCTTGTCCGGAACATAACTATAAGAAACTATAAGAGGTATCAACATGAAACTTTGTATGTAGTTTATCTCATTGAGTCGTTATGCAGTACATAAAAACCGTAACTCTGTCTCGCCTTATTTTGGAGTTATTGCCCTTTTTTATACTTTGAAATTTGTCCGGGATATAACTCTAAAACTATAAGAGACATCAACATGAAACAGTGTAGGTAGATAGATCTCATTGTGTAGGAGTACAGTGCAAAAAAATGTAATTCTGTCTTGTCTGATTTTGGAGTTATGGCACTTTGTTCATTTTTACACTTTTAACATTGCACGGGACATAACTTTAAAACTATAAGAGGTATCAACATGAGTCTTTATAGGTAGATAGATCGCATTAAAGCTGCACGCTTCCAGATGAGCCAAAATATTTCAAGAAATTCAAATTTGAGAATAATGTACTATTAATTTAAGAAAAGTGAAAAAATCCAAGACGTAATTGAAAACTTACATTCTATGAACGATTTATAAATACTGGTAATGTTATAGCAAAAACTAAAACAACAACAAATATTATTTAAAGGATACAAAGTGGTTTTGGTTGTTTTAACTCCAAGCTGCTGGCCCCTAATTTATTTGGGTGTTTAATCCGTGATGATGATAGTTTTGAAAGGTTTCGGGACCTTATTTGAAACATTTAATATTCAGGCAGCTTCCTGTTACAAACTACTGAAGCAACACAAGAAAGCATAGAATATTGTGACCCAAGTATGGCTTGAACTTACACTGCCTGGGTTTGAAAGAATGATACCTCAGCCAATATGCCACCAGTCTCCTTCTGTAGAATAAGCTTTGATACCGTCCAAAATTATTTTGCAAATTTCAGAAAGTTATTGTGCTTTGATATATAATTCCCTGTAGAGATTTATCAGGATTTTTGTGACGTTAGAGATTCCAGTCTTCCAATCTTGCAACCTGGGCGTTTGAAATTTTATATGTATAGAGAGAGGAGAGGTTTCTGAAATTAAATTTGAGCATGTCTGACGTTTTGGAAGTTCTGAATGTTTATAGTTCAAAGCTGCACTGAGATAAAACCAAACCAAATTTCAATTTTTCTTCTGATTTGAAATTAATGATGATAAGAAATTGGGTTGTTTTGTTATACAGTTAATCATTTGATGCAACGAATATGTCATCATGTAGGTTTTAGAGTGACATTATGCTATTTTTTCGTTGATGTAAATTAGAAATATGTTTAAAAATATTGACTATTTTAATGGAGTTTGACCAATAATTGATAATAACAAATTTCTGTAAGTGATAAAATATAAAATCTGCCGAAACTATACACAGATTGCCCATCTCTTTTTATCAAGTAATTGTTACTGATAGATTCTGAAGGACATATTTTATAGAAATTTCTCAGTGTCATCACATGGATTATTGAATATTCATTAAAGGTAGAATATGAAATTGGAAAGAAATATTGCAAAGTATAAACTTATTATTATTATTATTATCACTTTTTATTTACGTAATCTTTCATATACTTTCATACACTTGCATGAGTACAATGCCACTTCAATTTAGTAAAAAATTGTTGATGGGTTGATTTTTTTATGGGATAAATTTTGGTAGTTAACTCTACTCAAATTAAGCAAATATCCGTAGCTACAGAATTATAGTAAAGTTGTTAGAACTGTTAACGAAATTCAAATTTTCACTTGTTTCTGAAATCAGCTTTTAGATGAGATTGTGCAATTTTGTAATATGGAGTTAATAATTCACCAAAAATGAAAGATAGAAATTAATAGTAATTAATAGTGATAAAACTAATGATAATAATAATAATGATAATAGTAATAATTTCAATATGAATGAGTCTGAAAAAACTGTACATGATATATTTACACACTTCTGCTACTAAAGCAAAGTGAATATGCTATATTACACACATAATGTAATTATTAAAAAAAAAACTTGCTGATTCAGATCATGGAAATGTGTACATTTTTAAATTAGTTGCAAATATCATGACATCACACATTTGTAACTAGTTTCACTGAATAGTACTTACTGTCAAAATGAGATGAAATACACTATTCTACATGTTTCTACATGTTAAAACCAAATTAGCCTTTAAAGTTTGGTCCACCTTGAAATACTTTAATTGAAACTCTTTACATATTCAAGGACCATAATTAATGACTTTTCCAGACAGCTTTTATGACAGATAAAAGGTTCAAGGAGCATAATTGACTTTTTCGAGTAACTTAACTAATATTGGGGCTGACTTTACTTAAAGCAGATTTGTCTTAGTGTTGCTATTAATAATAATTTTATTTATAGTCTTTATTGTCAAAATTGTTGTCCTAACCTATTGAAATTGCCCTAAATTAATCTGCCCTGAAAGAGTCAAATAGACACATGTAACTGTTTCTTGTAGGACTTATAAATATTTAGATTTCAGTTAGACATAATGTTATAATATGATAAAATAGTTAATTTCTGTTGTATATTTTCAGTATCAGTGACCGAGATGTTGTCAACGAACAAGCCCATGCTGATGTTCCGTTTATTAGACGTAGACAGAGGCAAGAGAGAAAATCCAGGAGTACAGATGACAGGTACACTTTATTTTAACATTTGCTTCTTCATAAACATTCAATCTTGTCTTATTCATGTTGTTGAAATATCAATTACATGTATATGTATCAGAGACATATAGTAAATGACATTTTGTTATGAGATTTGCATAACAATGCAAGAAACAAATTGATACAGCAAATCACATACCAGTTATTGTTTTTTGGAGTGTGGTACTGAACTTTTGGCTAATTATTTAAAAACATATATTGTTGTTATTATCAGTTCAACAAAAATACGTATTTCCGGTATTTATCTTTCAACCACTAAACATGCTGAATACATTTGGATTTCCGCTGGATTTTCATTTTTATTTAAAATTGAAGAGCGCAGAATTCAATGTAAACCCCAGTCCCCCACCCCTTTTTTTTGAAAATGATTGAAAATAATCATTGTAGCGGGAAGTAAGATTTTCTGCATATACATCTTGGACTGGATTCATACTTGTTTGAAGTTTTTTGGGAAAGACAAATCATTGTTGCCACTGGCTTATCATTGCTGTCTGAAAATGGTCTTGAGTGTTTCCAATTCTATTCAGTCAGTAATATTTTTATCCTTTTGGTTGGGTGTTGCCTCTAAGGGTTGGGACACCAGAATTGCAGCCACCGTTTATCCATGCGTGATCGTGAGAAATGACTAAATGAGTTTGAATTACTGGACTCTATGCATATCTTAGCCCCAGCATGAAAGGTGATTTTGACCCCTGGTGTTCAACCTTCAATATGACCTAAATTGTATTTGTGCATCATAAAACCGAACAAATAAACATATTTTAAAATTTCCGCTGAAATCTAAAAGTGGTGTCCAGATAAACAAGTGAATTTAAGATATTTTGTGAGCAAAGGTTAACAATGTTATGTTTATATATAACTCTACGATAGAAGGTAAATAATCGAAAAATAATCCTCCAGTACTTCAAATCTCATAACAAACTGTGATGTCTGGATAAGTGTGAAACAGCCTCTGTTATAACAAATTGTAGATTTCTATAATGATGAAATATGTGATAATACACTTCACAGGAAAGAATTTTAATGATTTACAGTCTCTGAGATTTTTCGTAATGAAAAATTATAGCATAAATGTTATACTCAGGAGTAGTAACATTTATTTATGAGTAGAACATATTCTGTGTAAATTTTGTGCTTTATGTTTTTGAAAGAAGTATACAGAAATTAAAGATAAATATTTTTTTAACAGTCATTATCTTATTTACTTATAATGGTTATTAAAAGTGCCTTACTAAAGTATTGATCAATTTTGTTTTGATAATGGGTTTTACATTGCACAAACACAGTAAAGGTCAGACTTCTTGGATAATGATGTGAAACAGACTAAGAGATTTATTGTCTGTGATTTCAGGTCCTTGTTCAGTGCACAAAAACATCGCTACAAAGAAACAGCAGAGAAACAGTATGGTGATCCTGATGAAAAGGTGCCGTATTTGTCTTACATAAAAATGATATCATTTACCACTAAACAAAGACTTAGGTCCCTGGAGCATAGAACTTACAATAGAGAAAGTGATAAGAGTTCTCCACGTGGAAGTTTTTATCATGCAATTTCGAGAAAAGAAAAGCTACAGGAACAAGGCATATGTGCCGATTCGAATGTGCCAATATTAGACATTGAAGGTGATGATGCAATGACTCAAAGACTAGAAAGACTCCGAGTGGCAAGAGCCAAGATTCTTGAACAAAGGCAATCTGATGAAGTTATTTTGCAAAGTTGCAAAGACTGTGATGAAAAATCTAGGTCTGAATCAACAAGTAGTGTTTCTTTACAAAAATCTGACCGGGATAAGGTTCACACACATGAACCAGTTTCCATGTAAGATTGGCAGAAACAGAAACATACCACTAAATCAGCTAGACAGATGATTTAAAAGCTAAGTATATTATAAAACGTGATGACAATCAAGAAAAGATTCCAACAGATGATTAAAGTCTGTCTAGGAAAAGGTCTAGCAGAAAGGATAGAATGGATGAACATAAATAATTTTGGTCTAAAAAGAGTGAACATGATAAAGATACAAGCAGTGTAAAGTCTAAATCTGAGTCAGACTCTGTTTCAACAATAGAGGAAGAAATGTTAGATTGGTCATCAAAAGTCATTTGAGTCAAAAAAAGTTTGAAAATGTTGGTCACTCATCACTATCTGGTTCAGTTTATTCAAAGTCATTACCTGTTGTTACTACATCATCTGTATCAACATTATCATCAGTATCAACAGCAGTAGCAGGAGCAGCAGCTTTAACATTACTACATTTCGTGCACATCAAGAAAGAATAGAAAAACCTAAAAACGAAAAATCAAAAGAAAATACTCAATAAAAAAATTGAAGTAGATACCAAAGGATCAAAAGTAGAGACACAAGATACAAGTGATAGAAAATATAAGAAATATGCAAAAGCAAAATCTTTAGAACTAGGGGCATTAACAAAGAAAGACAAAACTGATAATGTGAGATCAGCTGAAACTAAAGATGATAGTAAATTGGACAGTGCAGAAGATCAAGCACAATTAAGTAGAGTTGAAAGAATAGCTAAATATAAAGAAGAGAGGAGAAAACAATTAAAAACTCTCCAAGAAAGGTTTGCAAAAGGAGAAAGCTCAGAGTTACCATCTTTATTCCTATCTAGCAAACCTGAGCAAGAAGACTCTTCTATATCTAGATCTAGAAGTTTAAAAGTTGAATCATCTGATAATAAACATGAAACCTCAATATCTAGATCTAGAAGTATGAAACAAGATGCTAGTTACTCTGATAGATCATGTCCTGCGTAAGGTGAGCCACATAAAATGCCTTGACCTAAATTAGCAGAACTAGGTTCTCATAGAAAACCATAAGAAGTAGATAAAGGAAAAGAGATATATGAATCTATCGAAATGAAATATAATACTGATAATTTCATTGACAAATTGCAAGCTCTCAAGAAACTGAAAGAAGAACATGCTAAAAGGTCAGGTGCAGTCCAAGATGAAGGCATTAATATAAGGTACTCTAAAGAAATCAAAGATGATGAAGTTGATGTTGGTAAGCCTGTATCTTATGCATCAAAAGCCTTGCTAGCTGATAGAGTTATGGAAAAATCTTCTAGAGAAAAAGCACAATCACCAGTGCGTGAAAGAATAAGATCTAGTTCTATTGAGAGAGAAACAGCTGGAAAAACTGATAAAACATTTAAGCAACCATTACCAAAGGAAACAGAACAAAAAAGTTATTTTGCATTTGGAACTGTGTTTATAAAGAAAGAAAGAAAACCTGAAAACAAAAGAGATGACAAAAAATAAATTTAGAAGATAAAAGGAAATTGAAAAGGAAATTGAAACAGAGAGAGATAGTGCTGAAGCTTCTGCAAGAATTCGAAGGAAGTTACCATCTGTAGAAGATGTTGTAGGTACAGGTTCCACTGTGACAGATACAGATAAAGTTGGAAATATAGGTCAAGAGAAACATTTGAAAAACGAAAGGGAGGTAGAAAACATAAAGCAGTATAAAATGAAGTGTGTAAGGAAGAGTTATCCTCTATGACTGCTGAACAGCTAAGTAAGAGAAAAGGTGCTAAAAATATTGAAAGAGCAAAACATAAGTTTGTGGAAGATGATACACATGCAATTGCTTATGATGCTTCTAGATTTGATCTCGGAACATAATGTACCATTAAAAAACAGATAAGAAATCATTCTCTGACAAAAGTGTTAAGCAAGAAATAAAGTTGAAGAAAATCTCAATTAAAAAGACTCATCAGAACGATCGAGGCAGATTTTATTAGAAGTGTCATCAGAATATGAAAATGTTCAGAAGAAACCTCAAGCTCATAAAGATGAAAAACAGGGCACTGCATTTGCTCAATCTGAGATTCAAACTCAACCAGAGCGAAAACGTTCTCATAGAAAAGAAAAACAATTGAATGACGAAATAAGATCTCAGCAATTAGATAAAAATGTAAAAGAGGAAAAACTACAATCAGTCACAGATGACAAGTCCCGAAAACCTCCTTCCTCACCAAGAAGTGAAAGAAGAAAACAAGCTGAAGAGAGATTTGGTAAGGCATCTGAAACTCAAGGTTTTGACTTTGGAACTAGTTATGTTAAGAAAGAAGTGGTTCCAAAGCAGGAGGGAAAAGCAAAAAGGTCAATGAAATACGAAGTTCAATCAAAGAAAGAAGAAACAAATCAAGATGCACAACAGATTTCATCTGGAAGTGTTGGAAATGAAGAAAACTCTTCAAAGCCTACTCCAGAAATGAAAACCAGAATTATTGCAAAAACAAGCTCCGATAGTGAAAAATAAAAATATCAAAAGTAGTTCAAGAAGAGGCCGACATAGACAACAAGAAGAACAAGTTTCTGTTCCCATTACAGCACCACCTGAAGGTAAATCATCATTTGAATCTTAAGTCAAACTAGACATGAATGCAAGGATTGTATCAACAGCTACTTGAAAAACACAAGAGGTGCCATCTATGTCTAGAGTTGTTTCACCTTCAAGAGCTATTGCCAAAACTTTTGAAGGAGTTCCTTCAAGGCAATATAATATTTTTGAAAGTGGTGTGGCAAAATCAGATCCATTACCTAGGGATTGCTTTGTCTAGCGGTAGAACATTCATATCAGCGACCAACACACTAAACGGTAAAGCGTCACGGGCTGTGAGCTAATTTTTTAATGTAACAAGAGATAAGAAAGTTCCCATTGATATAACGTTAAGCCTGTTTGATACAAATGTTCTACCAATCCATAATCATAGCTGTGAGGTATGGGGTAACATGCCATCGGAGAATTTGAAAATCGTGCTTCGGAAATTTTATAAATGGTTGCTCAATGTGAAAATGTCAACAAGTACTCTTTCATTGTTTGCAGAAGTAGGTCGATTTACATTATATATTTTATAACATGTAAGAATTGTTTAGTATTTTAAAAAATTATATCAAAATAAAACAAACAATTGTATATGAAATTATATTTCTTATTGTCTGAGATAGGAGATGAAATCAAAATCTAATACTGTAAAGTTGTTATCCAAAGTCAAAGCACTCTTACAAAGTGCCGGATTCAATGATGTGTGGATGTATGCAGAATCAGTCAAACTTAATATATTTATACCAGTGCTAAATGGTCGTTTAATCACACATGTACATATTTTTCTTCTTTGATTTTGAACATACTAAAATCGAGTTTAGCCGGTCTAAATACCTAAACATTGTTGATTCTAAAAAAATTAGAAATACTTAGGCTAAACTCAGATTATCATCAATTATTCGTAGAAACCGGTAGACATAATGATATTGATAGAAGTGACCGAAAATGTTTTATTTGCAACAATATTGACATAGAATTTGAATATCACTTTGTATTGATTTGTCCCTTGAATGATTCTCTTAGGAAACAGTATATATATCGAAGTACCGTAATATTGCAAAAAAACCTAGAATGTTTAAAGCTGCATGCCTCCAGATGAGCCAAAATATTTCAAGAAAATAAAACTTGAGAAAAATGTATTGAGTTTTATGAAAAGTAAAAAGATTAAAGATAAAAGTAATAATTTCCAGTAATTTTCACCATATTTCTACTGCGTTACTAACGCAGTCAGGGTTAATTTTGCATATTTTGACCTCTTTTTGTGATTTACATTGGTTGTAAGTGCCGTTTGAAATGTGCATATTATTTTATCTGTCAGCTTAACAATATTTTACTTTTGAATACATTTTCAAAATTTTCATGAACATTAGCCGGAATCTGGAGGCGTGCTGCTTTAAATTTTTAGAATTGTTGAATTCAGAAAGGATGTATTAATATAATTCATTTAAATTAAGATTTGATTCATTGAATGCCAAGTAATATGAGACCCTGTTGTAATGTTAAAGTTATATAAGAATTGTATATACTTTATGTGCTGTATTACAATCTCACTAAATTTACTTCTTTGTTGATATGCTTTACAATATTTAATATTTCTCATGCATTTTTATATATTGTTGTAGATGAGCCTTATATGCTTAATTCAAAATTAAATATATGTTCTTTCTTTTCTGTTTTCACGGTTAAAATACTTTGTAATAAGCCGTCCCATGGACATGTGGTGATGGTTGCTGACTTGAAATAATCAAGCTAGCTTTCATAAGGAATGTGGCTCTCCTTGGGTACCTGCTCGTGTTCGAAAAAATGCACAAAAGTATACTTGAATTATTCACCACCAATAAAAATAGCCTCAACAATGTCGGCAAAAAAGTATATAATCTTGAATAAATGTTGTTATAATGTTTTTATTGTTGTCACCATACACTAAGATAACCTCATTTCATTGCAATAGAATACCAGTGTCTATGTCGTCAGTTAAACGACAATTATATTTTTGTCAATTACTGCATTTCATGTTT